TTGGGGCTGGACAATGTGCGTTGGACTCGCTCAGCGAGCCCCCGTCCCCAGGATTAAGGGCCTGCCAGAAGCTCAAGGCAGGGAATTTAGGAGAATAAAAATGCCACCCCGTTTCTCCCAGCAGGGAGGAAGCATATGGCTCTCGTTACCTGGAGAGGTGATGAGGCTCAGAATAGAAACATGTTCAAGAGCTGTGGAGACAGATTCAGACACCAGAGAGCTCACATGCGCTCGCTGGTCAAGGAGCTCTGAGGGGCGGTGGGAGGCGGGGAGCATCCATGGGCTCTGGCATCCACCCAGCTTGAATTCAAACTGGGCACCTTCTCACCCTGTGATCTCAGTCCTCCTACCTCCCACCCCATGCCTCGGTTTCCTCACCTATACGATGGGAATCAGATTACCATTGTTATACAATATGTAAGATAGAATGCTTTGTGTAATGTTATAAAGTAGCATTCTACTAGGGTAGTAGCAAGGATTGGGTTCGAGGGGTAAGTTCTCAGTTTACTGCCTCCCGTTGTATTTCTGTATCCGTATGAGCATCCTGCCCACGACGGCCATAAACCCACAAGGCAGGTATTATAGCACCCGTTTATCAGATGGAGAAACAGCAGCTCAGAGAGGCCAAAGGATCTCGTTCAACATCACATGCTAGTCAAGTGCAGAGTCAAGACTAGAACCCAGGGCTCTCCTGGTCCATTCTGTTTCTACAGATCTCATCCAGACAGGAGAGACTCCCTGAGCAGCTGCCATGGGGCCAGGCTTGTGTCAAGGAGCTCAGAGCTTAGGAGGGGAGACACATAAGTTACAGTGTAGCACGATAGAGACAGGAACCCCGCTTCCAGAGAGATGTGTCCCTGGGGGGATGGAGATAAGCTCTGTCTTCAGAGGGCCGGGCAGTCAGGGCAGCCTGCCTGGTTGAGGCAGTGCCTGAATTTAGAGCCTGAGGAGCACAGACAGCATAGACAAAAGCATGGAGGCAGGGACCCAGTCCCTGGCATGCCTGTATCCACCTCCAAGGCTCAGCTTACTCATGCTGAATGTGGATGGCCCACAGTCCTGGTCCAGGCCCAGCAGAAGCCACAGCAACCCGTCCTTACGTGGCCTCAGCAAGACACACAGGCTGGGGTCAGCCAGCAGGGTCCTCGGTCTCCCAGTGCCTGGCTTTGCAAAAACACAATTACTGGCCCTTCAGAGATGCCGTCAGTGTTAGTAAACTCCAGCCGCTAAACTGCATTACACTGATCTCTCCAGAAACCTTTGCAGTTATTAATAGTTTATTGATCGCAGCCCTTTGCGGTGAGAGCAGGTCTCCTCACCCTCTGCCCCTCGGGTCCCTGCTATCTGCGGAAGGCCTTCCATCCAGCATGCAGATCAATGCCACTCAATTCTGGGCAAAAGGAGTCTCTGGGCCACTTAATCCCCTTTAGGAAGACAGCAGAGAAGGCAAAATCCCAGCTGAGGCACCGAGAAAAAGGGGACCGGTCCCAACCAAAGCCATGACCTGGCATCTGCCAGATCTGCCCGTGAGAACGAGAATCTGCCTTGGCTGAGGACGGCGGGGGGATGGAGGGATCCTGCTCACATAAGCCAGTAGAGATGGGGGAAACAGGGTGAGGAGTTTAGCATCCTTGCAATTCTAAGCCTATTTTGTAAAACAGGATCTTGGCACATGGGGGGAGTGGAGAAAGCGCCGCTGTGGCAGGGGTGTGGGAGGAGGGAGGGGTGAGACACCTCTGGGGATGCAGAAGGAGCCCTGTCGGCCAAAATGAGGATGCTCTGTCTTAAGAGCAGAGGGTTGCCTGGGAAGGGCTTTCGATGGGGGAGTACCGTTCTCCTTATTTGCGTTTGACACAATCTGGATTCTACCTGGAGAATGAACTGGAGGGAGATTAGCAGGGACGGAATGCCTGGCAAACCCTCCGCCTCTGCCTCCGTGTTCCAGGTGGGCAGAGGTGGCACAGAGGCACTGGGGGGAAGTGAATGATTCAGGATCTGTCTAGAATCAGAATGCCCAGGACTTGGTCACTGGTTGTACCTGGGGAGTGCGGACATGGGTGTGGGGTCGAGGACGATGCCCAGGAGCCTACCTGGTCAATGGTAGAGGCAGGGCCATTTGTGGGGCCAGGGAACCTGGCAGGGGGATGCTGGGGCTGTAGAAATAGCCTCAGTGAGGAGCTGCCTTTTTTACAAGGCACCAATCCAGGTGTCCCCCCCCCTTTCGAGCTGTCTTCTATACCACCTGTGAGGTGTAGCCTACATGTGTCACCCAACCATATTGCTTATGTTACTGTCACCTGAGCATGTCATCAGTGTAGTGACTACCTAAACATGACACCTGTGTTGCTGTCCCATAAACACATCTGTAGCCATCACCTAGGTGGCTGCTACCCACATGTATCCGCTTGGGTGTCAGCCGTGTCATGATTATCTTATTACATCACCTGGGGGACTGCCAGCGACACGTGTTCCCTGAGCCAGTTTCTTTTCAGAGCTGTCACCTGAGCATGCCGCCAGCATTCCTGTCACCTACGAAAGTCACTTAAGCAGGCTGCCTCTATAACCGACACCTGCGAGTGTCACCAAGTTCAAATTCTGCTCCTACTGTTTGTAAACCGCGGGGCCGCGAGTGAATCATGCAGTCTCTCTCCCGAGTCCCCATTGTCTTATCTAAAAAATATCACTCTAAATGACTGTCACTTAGGAATGGTGCCCGGCAGAGAGGCTATTTTTTCAGTCTAGCTGAGTTACAAACAAAGAAAATCGTTCCCGGAGGGGAGAGCGACCCCCTGCTGTTACCGCTGTCACCTCGCTCTTTCTTCTGAAAGCAGAGTGCAGAGGGAGGCGGTGTCTTCTCTGCAAAGTTCCCCTGATGAAAGCTCTCCATTCTCTAAGTCCTTCCATGACAGTCGGGGACCAGATGTCAACCTCTGTGTGTTCTATGTAAATGAAGGTGTTTGTTTATGCTGATGTCTGCTGGGTGGTGGGAGGGACCGGCTGGCTCAGCAGAGACAACCATGATGGAGAGAGAGGCTGGCAGCCCAGGTGTGTGTGGGGGGGGGTGAGGCAGGGAAGGTTGGGGGGCCGTGAGGCACAGGGAAGAAGAGTGACTCTGAGGCTATATTGCTCTGCAGAAACACATGGAGATGGAAGCTGAGCGGGCTGGGGACTGTGTACAAGGAGGGTGTGGGGGAGAAGAACCGAATTTCTCAGGGATGGCAGGGCTGGGACACACGCCCAAGGGCCCAGGCTCCTCTGCCCAGCGCGTCTCTCTGATAGGACCATTGGGCCTGGGAGGTGGAGTGGGGCAGTGGATGTGGATACCCTCTCCTGGTTTTCTGCTGTGACTTGAGAACTTCTAAGACCTCATCAGATACTCCAGTCCCTCTGAGTTGTAGCTGGAGGAGGCTGAACTTGCTGGGAGACGACACATTTCCCGACGTGACCGGGATACGGTATTTGCAATGCAGCCTGAGGCTCCTCCGGGTCACCGTGTCCAGATCCCACTTACTGGGAATCCCCTCTCCCCACGGGGCACCAGAGGATGACGGGACAATGGTCATGGCCCCTCCGTCTGTCTGGGTATGACTTTCCTGTGTATAGAAGTTTTGCAGCGGCATCATAGCACTTAATCTCCACTTCAGTCCCAGAAAGTTTTTTTTTGAGTCGGAGTCTCACCCTGTCGCCCGGGCTGGAGTGGAGTGAAGTGGCACAGTCACGGCCACTGCAGCCTCAACCAGCTGGGCTCAGGAGATCCTTCTGCCTCAAGCCTTCCAAGTAGTTGGAACTACAGGTGTGCACCACCATGCCCAGCTATTTATGTATTTATTTATTTATTTATTTATTTACTATAGAGACAAGATTTTGAGAAGTTGCCCAGGCTGGTTTTGAACCCATGAGCTCAGACAATCCCTTCGCATCTGCCTCCCAAAGTGCTGGGATTATAGGCGTGAACCACCTAAGAATTCTTTTTGCATTTGTAAATAGTTGGAGAAAAAAAAACCAGAAGAATATTTCATGGCACTTGAAAATTATATTTAATTCAAATTTCACTAGTCATAAGTTTTATTGGAACACAGTCCACTGATTTGTTTGCGCACTGTCTGATTTGTTTATGCCAGCTTTTGTGCTATAAGCACAGAGTGGAGTAGTTGCAACATCAGGGCAACAAAGCCCAAAATATTGACTCTCTGACCTTTCAGAGGAAAAGTCTGGGAGCAGGTTTGAGGAGATGTCTCCCATCCTCAGGGGTCACCTCCTCTGAGCAGCCCTCCTGGCCACCTCAGAGCCAGAAGTGGCCACCCCCAATGTAGGCCCAGATAAGTCTACATTTTTCTAGGTGACCCTGGAGCACAGATCAACTTCCCTGCCTCTGTGTCCACTTGGAGGGGGGCTCCTTGGGGACAGGGTTCTTGCTGTGCTTCTTTTCAATGTCCCCAAGACTGGGCATAAATAAAGTAGCAGCGTGGTGATGTGGAGAGAGAAATTAGATTCTCATCCTGGTTCTTGCCAGCCACATGGGGTGGGGACAACTGGGTCTCCTCAAGCCTTCGTTTCTGTGTTTATGAAATGGGAATTTGGATCCTACTTGGAGGACGGTCATGAGGCAGGAGGGACAGTTTTGAGCCCGTACCACATGCCAGCGTCATGCTACATGTTGACACTTCCTCATCTATTTCGTCCTCCTGGGATGGCACAGCCATTGGCAGTGGGCACTGCCCACGTTTGTGTAAGATACCAGGCTAGATGACTGGTCCGGCCCACTGGGTACAGATCTGACTTCAGCCGAATACAGTCTACGTCTTCATCCTCTAAGGTGCCGAGCACAGGACAGGCATACCGTCGGTGTTCCATAAATGCTCTCCTCCTCACAGCCCAGCCCACGGGCATGTGGTCGCTTTGCAGCATTTGTTGAGCGGGGCCTGGACCAGCGGGTGCTGCGGAGGGTTTCCTGGAGTGCTGCCTCCCCAGCCCTCATCCCGTCTTCTGCCTCCCCTCAGGCTGCCCGAGGTCCGGATCTCCGACAACGGTCCCTACGAGTGCCACGTGGGCATCTACGACAGAGCCACGAGGGAGAAGGTGGTCCTGGCATCAGGCAACATCTTCCTCAATGTCATGGGTGAGTGCAGGGCCCTGCTCTTGAAGATCAGTGAGAGGTGTGTGCACATGTATGTGTGCACACGCGGGTGCCCGTGGGGCCGTCCTGGGGACCACCCACCAACATTTCTGGCGTGCTTTTTTCTTCCCTTTTCTGCCCTTGCCTGAAGGCCATGCCGAGGGGGGACCTGTGAGGCACTGACCCCAGAGATCTTCTCCCGGGAGCCCCTTCTCCCCCTGGCACTGGTACCCTGAGCTCATGACTGCAGGCCTGGGCCTCATCCCTGGGCCCTCACGTCCCCGCCCAGCCGAGGGGCTCCCATATGGCCACTGTAGCAAAGGAGCGACCAAAGGAGGAGTCCCTGAGGAGCAGCAGGCTATCACGGTCTCTGGGCCTTGGTTTCCACTTCAGTGTCTCTCTTCAAAATGTCCCCAGGCAGCATGGGGATGTGGGGAGAGGAATTGGTGAGGACACGGGGAGGGAGGGGTCGGCAGCTGTGGGTGTGCCCTGCCCAGGCTGCAGCAAGAGGCCTGTGGATAGGCACACGGGGGCACCGGGGGGAGGGCGTTTCTATGGGGAGGTCTCCCTGGGAGTGCGCGACAGCATCTCGGCCGTGATGCTCACTTGTTGCAAAGGCTCTGCGCCTAGCCAGATTGCTCCCTGTCCCTCCAAGGTCTTTCTGGACATGTCAAAGGGTCAGAATGATGCGCTCTGATGCTATCTCTGCGCCTCCATTTATGCATCTATAAAATGGGGAGAATAATACTAGTGCCTGTCTCTAGCTGGCTGGGTCCTTGGACAAACTCACCCCCACTGCAGCCTCAGTTTCTCCACTTGTAAAACAAGGGCATGGTCTCTGAGTGATCTCAGAAGTCCCTGCCGGCTCTGATGTTCTTGTCAGAGACACCCTTGGAGTCAGGCTCAGCCATGAGGATGGGAGGACGTGGCCTCGACTTCTAGCTCTGTGTTCTCTGATTTTCTTTTTTTTTTTTTGAGTTGGAGTCTCACTCTGTCACCCAGACTGGAGTGGAGTGGCACGCTCCCGGCCACCGCAGCCTTGGCCACCACGGCCTCAACCTGCTGGGCTCCGGTGATCCTTCTGCCTCAGCTTTCCAAGTAACCAGAATTACAGGCACGTGCTACCACACCTGGCTAATTTTTTGATTTATTGTAGAGATGAGGACTCGCCAAGTTGCCCAGACAGGTCTCGAACCCGCAGGCTTAGGCAATCCACTCACCTCAGCCTCCCAAAGCACTGGGATTACAG